CATATCATATTTCATTAAAATCAGTGCAGTAGCTGTTACCCGTAAACTGTTTAAAAAAAAACTCTTAATATCCCTAGCAGCGATTTTACCTGGGCCCCATTTGGGTTCAAAATTGGCTCAATAAGGATCCGTGCACCGAGTGATTAATATTGGGCGTCTGGATTTTTTAATATTGGTACTAGAATGGCCTATATAGGGCCCTACGTTGGTCGATATAAAGAGTATATGTCTAAATGATGGATATGCAGATATTGCTTGTAAAGTGGCTGTAAAATATCGGGTGAATCTGGCAATTCTATGTAGGACCAATATCGGAAACATAACGGCCCTTTGAGCTAAGATTCGTGAATATTGGGCCAATGAGGGCCCAAGTTATTTTGCTGCTAGGGATTAAACTAAGAAGAATGTACCTGACGAATGCCTAAAGAACCTTTTTTTGAATAAAAAAAAACATTCCTTTTATACTGTTCCATTATAATTTATTTTGAAAAACCATTCTTTAGAACTTATTAAAAAAAAACTTTTCTCCGAGCATTACGAACGAAAGATAAGGAGACGAAATCTATCACAATTCCTCATCCATCAAAATTATAGATATTGACGGACTTTCTCACTTCATAACATAAAAAAGAAGAATTCTATAAGAGAGAGAGAGAGACAAAGAGATAAAAGCAATTTGATCCGGGTTGATTTCAAAGAAGGCCTTGGAATCAACACTCCTACAACGATGGATCTCCGCCAAAATTCCGTAGACTTTTAAATCGTAAATTGCTAACAATCAAAAACTCGTTTCCCGTATCCTTTTCGCCCAATTTATTGTAAAATGTTTTTTTTCTTCTTAATTATTTCGCATTGTCGTTGGACTTGAGTATTAATTGGCTGCAATGTAAAATGCCTAAGAATATGTGAAATCAATTTTAGAATGAGAAGTAAACACGTAGGTGTCGTTGGTGGGGGCTGGGGCAGTAGGTAGATGTCCTCCACCCTTTTAGAAATCTCTTTAATATTTCAAACAAACAAAGTGAGATTGAACCGTGGTGGCTCGGTGGATAGAGGGTTCACCTTCCAACGAGGCACACCGGGTTCGAATCCCTTGCACCGACCACAGCGCTGACGTAAAATATCATCAGTGGTAGACGGATCATGGATATCTTAATTTCGTCTCACGGATTTGGTATCGTTAGTATTTTATCAGAGGTAGACGGATTTGGTATCGTTAGTATCTTATCAGTGGTAGACGGATTTGGTATCTTTAGTATCTTATCAGTGGTAGACGGATTTGGTATTTTTAGTATCTTATCAGTGGTAGACGGATTTGGTATCTTTAGTATCTTATCAGTGGTAGACGGATTTGGTATCTTTAGTATCTTATGAGTGGTAGACGGATTTGGTATCTTAATTTCGTCTCGTTCGATAATTGCACCCTGCGACGCCCATGCCTGATGTTTGTCCATGTGTTGTTATGAAACAAATGTGTGAGAACTAGGACTGGGCTATAAATCGATATATCGCGACATATCGATTTAACGCCTGTATCGGCAGGCCAATACAGCGACCTTCGTTCCAGGCGATACATCAGAAATCTGATTTAAGCCGTCGAGTAAAGAAGACGAACGATATAGCGATATACGATATAGCGATACAAGACAAGCAAGGATCTCTTACGTTCCGATGCCAACTCGCGCTGGGGAAAACGATGTACGTATCGTTATATTGAAAGGGCCTTGATTGATGAGCGGTAGAATCAGAATCAGTTTTGAGAACATATATCGTGATCTCGCATGTTCGTTTCCGTACCTCTTAGTTTTTTTTTCTTTTTTGTCGTGACTTGATATCGTTTCTTGTAGATTAATTTCAGTGGGACTGACTTTGTGATACCTTGTTCTGAACGTAATCTATTATTGAAAAGAATATATAAAGAAGTGTTTCTTAATTAATTAGGTAAATTTTTTTTGAAACAAAACTTTCTTTTTTATTTTTAAATGTGAAAATTAATTTTGATATTATATGTTTAAGTATTATTTTACGTTATTGAATTTATTACAAACGGAAATCTAATTCAAGGTGCCCATAAAGAATTAAATTAAAAAGTAATTAAATTTGTTAGGCTATTATTTACTTTATTTTAATTTATTAAAAGCTTTTTGAATAAAATAATAATTTAATGGGTTTTTATTACTGATTTTAAATTTATAAATCTTTAGTTGTTTTCATTTTTATAAATAAAATTATAACAAAACTTATTTTTCCTCTTTTGGATTTGGACATAAGTCAATCAACTCTGTTTATTCAAAAAAATTAGTAATGTTTGCGATTGCGACTTCTTTTTTTAAAATCATTTAGCACTTCGTTTTATTAAAGAGTATAATCGTGTTTTTTAATTTTCTTTCAATATTGTCTGTTGAATATATTATCGAATATCATAATTCTTTTGTTTTTATTTTTAAGAAATTAAACCTTACTTTGTTTTTTCGTTCAGAATTCGGTAATTATTCAATTTAACTTTATTATTCATGTGAAATAATAACGATAAAAAATAGTGTTGTTTTAAAAGTGTGTTTTTTTCTTTTGTTTAATTTATTAAGCACTTTGTTTTAAGCATACAAATAATTTTTAACGAATTTATTTTTTAAATTTTCTTTCTATATTGTTAGGTAAATATATTGATAAATTTCAATTTTATTTATTTTTTTATTATTTATTTTTAAACTAAGAAATCTTTCGTTATTTGCGCGATCATTTTCAGAAAATATAACATTCATATCTTTCTTAAGCAAAACATATACATCAAATTCATAAATTGATTTAAATCAATCTGAGTATGAAGTTTTGATAGAGATCCGACTTACAGTGCCTTACAAGTAAATGAATTTCAAAAATAGTATATCGCGATACATCGCTCTATCGCGATGCAAAACTGACGATGCATCACGATATAAAATTTCTTATATCGCCCAGTCCTAGTGAGAACGATTTCCAAAGTCCCTCGAAATTAAAAAAAATGTGAGAGTAACCAATGTTTTTCAACATTTTATTGTGTGGCAGTACAAAAACGCTTAAAAATATAATGACCTATAAAAAAATTGTACCGGGAATATAAACTACAATGGAATAAAAACTTTCGTCATTCGATTAGATTTGCTTACAAAAACTAACAGTAAAAAATACCACGCAGGTCACTTTGCAGAACAGAAATTATAGTACAGAGCAGATATGCGAAAGGGGCAACTTTTTTTAATATTTGTTTGGTGAATTTAAAGACGATTTTCTTCGATTGATTCACTTCTCGAAAATCCGATTTGTTCAGGAGTTGTGAAACACTTCAGTGCTTTTTTAATACGATATTCAACCTCTTTGCTTTTAATAATGATCATTTATACATTGCTGAAGAAAAAATTATTTTCATTTTACTAGGCGGCCCCCTGGTTGCTTTACTACACATTCATCATCGTACTTAGCCCTTATAAAATGAAGATCTCGAGGGAAATAGAATTTTTCTACAAAAATATATAAGGTGCGTGGTAGCTCAAAGGATAGAGAGTTCACCTTCCAATGAGGGGAAGCGGGTTCAAATCCCAGCGATGGCTGGTCGATACGAATTCCGCATCCGACTTGCACTTACGTGAAATATCCTCAGTGGTAGACGGATCATGGATTAGAATCCCCTTGACATCAGGCTAACCGTGGGAAATTCTCGTGGTCTTCCACTCCATGTAACGCAAATGCGGGTTAGTTCCATCAAAAAGTCCTCCACGAAGGCGCATATCTCCCAATATTTTATCCAGGAGTTCCTTGTCTTCTGGCTTAGTTCAAAATTACAAGGCTACGGCGTTGAACATTAGTAGTCGTAAACCCAAAAAATTGGGTCAGCTGTTCAACGACGGTTGTAAAATGAAGTAAAAAGAATGCATAAATAGTTATTTTTAAACCGAAAAAGTAAAACGATATAACTAAAAGCATTGTTTTGCTTCCCCTTTTGTGTGCATGCAACTGAGATGCCGTGGAAACTATTTATTAAAAAGAGATATCTCAAAAATCACCTCAGTTTGAAGAAAAAAAATAGACTTTTTTGGTATCTTGAAAAACCTATTTAATAGCGAGTCAGTCAATTCGCGTCAACACAATCTGTATATCAATATGCCTTGCTTTTTATTCAACAAGTTTAAACCGAAAATTTTTTCAGAAATGGAAAAGTCTCTGTTTGCAAAAACACTTTTCTCAAACATCACATTCCTTTCCTTTTTTACATTCAAATTAAATAAAATATATCAGGACGTTATTTTCAATTACTACTATTAATTCACTCTCTCTCTCTATATATATATATCTTGTTCAAATTTTCAACAGTTAATAAAATACTTTTTATTCATCTCCACTCAATCTCAAATAAATTTTTTTTAAACTTTTAGTGGATGATACTTAATGTTAATACAGTTTGTTTTCAAATACTAATTCATTCATTAAATTTAATTCATTAATTTCAGTTTTATATGGGAGAAAACTTTTTAATTATTTAATAAAAATTAAAAGAAATAAAAAATTTCGAATCAAATTTAACGAATTAAGTTAAATTAATTAATTTTTGATTAGATTTAGATTTAAATTTAGAAAAAAATTTGAATTATTTAATAAAACAGTAACTAAAATAAGATTTTTCTTGGTTGTCCTAAGTAGGAATTGGTTTAAAATTTTTTTTTATATTACTTGTTTAAAGTTATTTTACAAAAATGCACTAAAAAGTAGTGCATTCCAACATATTTTATAAAGCTCTCATATTGTTATATTCAACAAATTTAACATTATGGTAAAACTCACTCAAACAATAACCAAAAATGAAGGAGACATTAACATCAAAAAGACATTTATTAACATCTACACAACTTCTTATCATTCGTCTTTAAGTTTATTGGCATTCAAAAAAAAAATAATGAAGAAAAAAAAACTGATTGACGATACGGAGATCTTTCATTCGCTGTTATGATTTGATTAATCATTCGTTCATTCATTCGTCCTGCAACTGTAACGGAATCATGACAACTTATAAATCTCGCTGAATAGGGAATATTTCAACTGAGCGTTTTCCCTACTTTAGGGGAAATAAATGAAAACAAGAGTGACAGAAATTTTCATATAGTAGTTGTAGAAAGCTAAGCAGGTCGGAATTTTCTGCGTAAAAGAAGAACAGAAAACTTCTTTTTTGTGGATCGAATGTTTGTAAATCTTCGGAATGATAACAGAATTATAGTAGGAATTTTTTGTGTTTGTTCGATGGTCTGCTTAATTTAGAATTGCTAAAAAAAATGGTGAGTAACCACTTGTTTGATCAGATTCAAGTTTACGAAAGTAACTGGTCTAATTTCTTTAATGATAATTTGAATAAGTAAAAAGAATCATTGATTTTTCTTTCTTTTTTCTTTTTCCAATTTTCACAGCCGAAATTTATTGAAATGAATTAATTTTGAATTCGAATGGAGATATTTTACTCTTTCTTACAATTTTCAGACGTTTTAAATTTAATTAACTGTTCAAATCAAAACAATGAAAATTGATTTACTTGTTTTGAAGGATTATGGTAGGAATTTTTATGTTTGTTCGAAGGTTTGCTTAATTTGGAACTGCGGAAAAAATGGTGAGTGCCGACTTTTTTTTAAATCATAATTCAAGTTCTAATTTCTGGTCTAATTTCATAAAATAATTTCTTAATATGTTTCAAAAATAATGCTTTTGAAATGATAATGATAATGCTTTAAAGATAAGTTGAATGTGTAAAAAGAATCATCGATTTGTCTTTTTTTCTTTCTCCAATTTTTCACAGCCAAAATTTATTAAATTGAATAAATTTTGAATTCGAAGTGAGATGCTGTCAACCACGCGTTATATTTTACTCTTTCTTACAATTTTCAGACGTTTTAAATTTAAATAAAGGTTCGAATCAAATCACTGAATATCGATATACTTGTTTTGAAGGATTTTTTTCTTATTTTATCATTATTCCTTTAAAATTGGCAGATTATGAAAAAGTACTTGTTCGTTCTGTAAAAAAATACCTTCAACAGGTATGTGAATTTAAATTTACTGTATCAATACATTAACACAAGTAAATTTACTCCAAATTTACTTTTACTTGTGAAAATACTTTCGAAAAGTTGTTAGTTTGTTAAATGTAACTAACTAACAACTATTCGATCAATAGTTAATCTTTTAAATGTTTTAAAGGAAAGTTCAAATATTTTAGTTAATTTTTTCTCCAATTATTTGGCAAGTCTGGAATTGCCTATTAAACTCATTTTGAACACTTTTCGAAATATATTGTAAGCGTTACAAAACTGTATACATTGGTTTGTTAATGTTTAAATAAAAACGCGTTTTTTTTTCAATTTAATATTAACTCCAATGTAGAAATTTCATTTTTAAACTGCTTTACCGAGTACGATTCTCATTGACTGAAGTTTATTTTCACAACAAAGCAATATCTTAAGACATTTTAACTTTATCCTTTACAGTAAAAAACTTTAAGAAGGAATATAAATTTGTATTAGTTTATAAAATGAACAACATTTTAATATTTTACAAAGCACGTTTTCTGAGTCTTGTAAATATACATTTAATTAAATCTAAGCATTTTATGCTCAAACTAGATTTGTATGGCATAGTTTATATAAAACAATATATATTGCGCAAAATAATATATTATATTATATTGTATTATATTATATTATAAACATTAAATAGAAACAAGAATTTTATCCAGATATTGCGTACATGAACTTTTCTTCTTTTCATAAATTATTATTTCTAAATATAGTCACTCAGGCTAACAATATACTTTGTTGTATAATTTTTTTTAAAATTTTTTTTTAAAAGAATTCTTCGTAGTATCGAAATCAGGTTAAATAACAAATACCTAACATTCCTTTGTTATTGTTTCGTTCTTACGTAATCATGAAGTTAGAATTATTAAAACTTTTATCGAACTAAATGCCTTTATTTCAAGAATTGATGCTACTGATTTATTATCTGGTAAAATAATCCGGTAAACGATGAGCATGATTTGTACTAATTAAATAATCGCTGCTATTTGAAGTTCGGAAAGAAACCGCTTAAAGCAGTGTTTCCCAAACTCATGACTTTTGTGTACCCTTTCAAAAATTTTCGTAACGCTGTGTATCATTCATAAAAAAAATAAATGAATTTTTTAAAAAATATTATAATTCTTCTTTTTTGGTACGAAGCTTTGTTAATAAGTTTATTTGCATCAGTGAAAAGGATGTTTTTTCTGTGATCATCATAATTAGGTTCTCTTGTGTTGTCAATTTTAGTCTGATTTCACGTCCAATAATTTATTTCTTTTTTTATCGACTTAATGTCGACGAATGCTGAAAAAGCGACTTGAAGTTGTCGAAAGCGAATATAAAGTTAGAAAAGCTCTGTGAAAAGCGAATATGAATAAAAGAAAGCGAATATGAAGTTAGAAAAGGCAAAATATATTTCACAACTTTTTCTGTTAAGTCTAGATACATATTTTGCATTTGCAGCTAGAATGATGTTGAAATATCCAATTTTTCAAGAAGGTATCTTACAAAAATAATCAAAATAAGTAGAATTTATTACAAACCTTTACTACAAAAAATTGCACAAATGTTAAAAATCACAACTGACTGTTGACACCACTAATTATTAACACCACTTGTTGACACCACTACAAAAAATAGCCAATAGGAAAATACGTAACCGTAAATTTTCATGGCTAGCTTTGTTTTAAAATAAAATTTTTTGAAATGTTCGTTTGTTGCAAGATATTTCGCATAAAAACGCGTACCCCCGCTAAACTGTTCCCGTACCCCTAGGGGTACACGTACCACACTTTGGGAAACACTGGCTTAAAGGATTCCATCTAAATTAAAACAAAATAGTTAGGCATGAATAAAAAAAAGTGAATTCAATATTGATGCCATTTAGCATGACCACGTTCAGCTTTTTTATTTTATATTACCTATATTTATATATATTTTATACTATCTATATTTATGTATATTTTATATTATCTATATTTATATATATTTTATATTATCTATATTTATATATATTTTATATTATCTATATTTATATATATTTTAATTCTATAATTCTAATAACTAATATTTTAATAAAATTCTATACTGTTAGGCCGATTTTGTTCAAATTTTTATTTATTATTTAGAATTAAACAGTTTAAATTTCTGTAACTTTTAAAATGAAGGCTGAATGAAATTCTCTTTGTTAGAAGTCCCTCGTTGAAGTGTATTATTGTTAACGAAATGTTATGCATTCTTTTTGTCCAAAAAGTATCAGTAAATAACCATGGTTTAAGATTAGATGCGCTATCTTGGTACTATCGCATAGTACCAAGATAGCGCATCTTCGATTTGGAAATGTATATTTTTGAAGATAAGGTGCTTCTTGAGTTCTTAAAAGTTGTACTTTTAAAAACAATATAATTTACACCAATTTACATGCATAATAATAATAATAAGCATCGTCACTATTGTTGAGCTCAAATTTTCATTTAAAATAGTATCTCATGTTAGGTATATTTCAAACAAAATTTTTATAACAATTAACAAAATTTCTTCAGCTAATACTTATAAAAAATAAATACTCATTTTTTTTTAATAAATAGACTTTTGATTTATCAAAAAAATTAAATTCCTACTGTATATAAATTTTTTTAAATTATATTTGAAAAGGAATTTTAGAACTGTGGTCAAAAAGTTTTGGATTCACTTTAAGTTCTCGAGCTCTAGAGAAATACGAAAAAGTGAAGTTAACTCTATTAGGTTCTAACTCCTGCCTAAATGATGGGGACTCTGTTTATCAGATGGTGGCTACCTTAGGGTCAAATTTGTCTTTAAACAAGTATTATTAAAAAAAATCATTTAAATTCAATTCGTACTTAGGTCAACAAATAAAAGTTTTATTTTAGTTACTTTTCATTAAATAATTTTAAAAAATTCTCCCATATAAAGCTGAAATTAATGCGTTAAATTTAATTCATAAATTAATATTTGAAAAAATTAACGTCAAGAGTCACATCCACTACAAGTTAAAAAAGAAATGTATATGAACTTGAGTGGATAAATAAAAAGTATTTTATTGAACGATTGAAAATTTGACCAAGATATATAAATATATATAGGAAGAGTGTGAACTAACAGTAGGAATTGAAAGAAAAAAAAAGGGGGCGTGGCATCAGACAATTATAAAATTCTAAATTCGGTGACGTGGACCACACGTGCTACCACGTCATGTTCCTGACACAGCGAATATAAAATAATTAAATATCTAAATGTGAACAATAAACTATTTTTTTGTTCAAATAGAGCTCTAAGTTAGAAAATATCCCTGATGGTATTTTTAAAATATGTGAAAAAACTGAATCGCTTATGGTTAAATTTAGAACAATGACTAACTCTTAACGAATCATAAAATTCCATTTCGTTTTCCGCTCATCCCTATTTAATGAATTAATTAATATTTGAGTAAAAAAACTGTATTCACATCAAGTAGTCATCCACTAGAAGTTTTAAAAAATGTATTTGAAATTGAGTGGATGAATATAAAGTATTTTATATAGTTATATAACTATATAAAATAAAATACTTTATATTATAGTTATATAATATAAAGTATTTTATACAGCGATTGAAAATTTTAACAAGATATAGGGAGAGTTTGTACTAATAGTAGGAATTGAAAAATGGTCTTTGTGTCTGATCTCGTAACCTAAAATATCTTTTATTTAAATGTACTCACTTTTTTAAGGATAATCCTTCGAACTATTAAGATTGCATCTTAGATAATGCGATCAAGAATTATTAATTTGTCCCGTTAGTTCTATTTTACATTCAGTGCACCCCTAATGTTAATATTCTAATTCCAAGAATATTTTTTCGGTGCCGTGTGTTGTAAGTAAGTGTGTCACTTGTTTGTTTACCATTTTTAAGCCCGGCCTTCTAATTCAGTTACCTTGAGAAATATTGCTTTCCTTATTAGCAGCATGATGTGATAATTTTTAAGATCAACTACATTTTCCCTAACTTTATAACGATTTTGTCTCTATACTAACGGAAGCAATTTGTTATTTCTTTCCTTATTTCAAATTTACATTATTCTTGATGTCCATTTACATGTTTATAGAAAAACAATTCTCGAACTTTTTTAAATCTCAATTCTCTAAGACGCTTTTTTTTACCAATTTATATAGAACTATGAAGCTCCACTCCCTGCTCGCTCTGCTCACCTAGCCCCCATGGTGGCCCTCCTT